ACTTTCAGAGTGGAATTCGATCGTCGATTCACTCCCATCTTGAACCGCAGCCTCCTGGGCTATATGAGACGATGAAGTCACGTGGTCGCTGATGACGGTGTAAAGATCTCCAATACCATCGAAAGAAGAATTTTGTATTCCATAGAATATGTCGTCATTAATTTCCTAGACATTTCTAGTATGACTTCGAACAAACAAGTTAAGGTTTGTCAAAGGTACCTGCGGTTCCTCTGCCATTGTCAAGCTTGAGTTATATTTCCATATTAAGGTGAGCCAATTATTATTCTGTTGCTGCAAAAGCGTGATATTCGCGTTTTCTCCCGACAAATTTCCTGCTCAAAATAAATTTCAATAAATCATCAGAAGTCACAGCAACAAAATTTTACAAGCTGCGCAATATCTTCATAATTCTAAATTCAGCTTTTGTGAATGACGGTAGCATGATATGGAATAACCTCACTCTTCCTGGTGGTATCATTTAATTTTCAGAACATGTAGACCAATTCAACAACTGAAATTCAAATATGGATATACCAATTCCAAAAGGAATATGCGCCTCGAGGTATGCTATTGGAACTGATCGTAGAAGATAACACTGAAATCTGTATCTTTGCACAGTGAAAAAATTAAACGATTCCCCATTCATAGAACAGCACGGCAAGTGGCCCGAAACTGCAGCAGATGGCCGCTATTTTTTGCAGGTTAATTTTTCTCAAAGCTCTAATACGTTGCCCCTTCTGCAGTCTCTGTTTACCCTGCATGACTTTGGTTTACGTCGAATGGTTGAAAGACTATGCACAATGTAGTGCGTTTCCAACGCACTTTTTTACTATTGTCATAAACAATCTTATCTCTAAAATATGAAATCTAGTCCTTTAGACGTTATACGCTATTTTACATATTCCGGCGTATGAAAATAATCTTGTGTTGATACGACAGCAGCATATAAGTATTATTAGCTCCAGAGACGTTATTCGTGATGTTCGTGTAAGGTGACTGTATGGGACAAACTGTGCTATGCGTCTGGCACGGCGTATAGCCCCCTGAGCAACAGAGCAAGAAAGGGAGCAGTACGCCATAAAGTTTGGCTTTTCAGAAGTTATGAACCAATCTACCGTATAAAAAAGGCACAAATTAGACATTGGAAGCTATCATGCATTTTGTTCCAGGTCATACTAAACACCAATATCACATTGATATGCCTCCACATGTATTTTTATAGCCTTTTCATGCTCCAAGTATCAATCTCATTTTTCTCAATCTCTTGACATCATCTGTTAGGTACTCTGCTGTATGCCACGGTCCTTCAGCTGTTGTGAGAGTTAACAACCAGACAGAATGGTTTTATTACGCTATGGCTGAAAATTAATATGCAGTTCAACGTTCCAGTATCTGGCTGTTTAGTTGCAGCATCCTTCTAGTATACATATATGCCATAAACTCGTAAAGAGATCTCTCTATCCTGATTACCACTGTCTCATTAGCTGAATGTTTGAGGTTTAATGATGAATTAAACAATTAAAAAACAAATAAAAATTAAACATTCACTAGGGTAATTCAC